ATTAATCAGCTGCATATGTGTTCAAATGATGACAAAGTCTTTTATTGTGTTAGTCGTATGAAAATAGTAGCAGCAATCTCACTGTTACATCTGTTTACAGAACAACACATAATTTTTTTTTTAAATAAATAGTTTGTTTTTTTTCCGTTTTTGTACATTTCAGTCTTAGTTATATTTCCACAGAATCATCTAACTTAATGTAGCTTTCATCTACACATTTCCCTGTGCTCTATGTGAATTTCAATCTTTTACTTAATCTTCTAACCTCTCTTTTACTTACTTAAAAAATATGCAAGAAATAGACTTACTAAAATATTCCCTTTTTAATTTTTTAAAGAAAAATGTTACTATATAAAAACTGAGATAAATGTCAGTTTCTTCTAGCACCTCATTAACAACTATAGATAAAACCTGTGGGGGAAAAAGACATCCAAGCCATAGGAAAGACAAAATACTCACTTTCTGTAGTCTTGGCTAGATCCCAGTCTGCTACTGGAGCTCTCCAAGGTTTGTCAGACTGTCACACAAGCCGACTGCAACAGTTATAGGCTCTCTGCTCAAACCACTTGTGACATCAGCTCTCTCCAAATATAGCCTTGCATTTTCATCTACAAAAGGGTGGGGTAGGGAATAAAGCGGGTCTTATACATGTCATATAACACTCGGTTCTACCGTAATGTACACTCTTTAATATTCACATGAGCAGAATAAAAAAAAAAGAACGAAAGATAATCACAGTACACAGACACAAACACACGCACGTCTGCATACGTCACCATCCTCATCATCACAGTCGTCACTATTGTCATCAGCTGCCGTGATGGGACTGACCCGCCACAAACCCACACCAGGGAGAAGAACACTGTCAGGCTGTCTTCCTATTTACCTTGAGACATGTAGTGAACTTTTACTGTAGGTCACCAAACTCTGGCCTTAGCGCCTTCCTCTGGGCTTCAACGACGATGAATAAAACATGTGAAGATGAATTATCATCAATAATAAATGGTGCCTCATTATTTTGATGGGACGTGTCACAAGCAACACAGTATTAATTAATGAATTGATGGTAAAATTTGAGACACTTTAGAACCGCACAACCCAACAGTGTGACAAGTTGAAAACTAGACTAGTAGTTGCATCTTCTTATTTAGTTTCCTAAAGACTGTATAAGCAAATATTAAGTTGTTTTCTTTTAAGTAAACAATATGCATCGCTTGGAATCCAAGAGGTGATTGATCGAGGTTTTATTTACTGAGATAAAAACCGAACAAGAGAGATTGCTCTCTGACTTGTGCGCTTAATCACCACATCTAAACAGAAAACGTGTCCTTAACAACCACAAGACTTTTAGAACAATGTCCTTTGGGCAAATGAGACCAAAGTGGAGCTGTTTGGCCGTACTACACAGCACTGTGTTCACAGCATATCAGCACAAACACCTCATACCGGTTGTCAAGCATGGCGGTGGAGGGGTGATGATTTGGGCTTGTTTTACAGCCACGTTACCTGGGCACCTTGCAGTGACTCACAGAGTCAATGAACGTGTTACAATGGTCCAGTCAAAGTCCAGACCTCAACCTGGCTGAAATGCTGAGAGAGCTGTGCATAAATCAATGCCTGCAAAAATCAATGAACGCAAGCAACACTGTACAGAAGAGTGAGACAAAATTCCTCCACAGGAATGTGAGAGACTGATAAAGTCACACAGATAATGATTACTTCAAGTTATTGCTGCTAAAGGTGGTTCTAAAAGCTACTGAACGATAAGGTGCACTTAGACAGATAGTGTGAAAAAATTCCCATCTACAATCAGGGAATATCAGCCTCCCTTTGAACTGATAATCATGTTATTAAGTAATGTGTAATGTAATATGTATTATAAATCTGTATATATAGTATGTTTTAATATAACACACATTTATATAAATCTACTGAAAATAAGCAGCAAATACAAATAGACAATTCTGATGAGCTGTGGTTTTCACAGAAAGATATCTCATAAAAATGTACTCATAAAACACTGCAAGAAAAAAAAAGACCATCAGTTTCACAACAACAGTGCATGACTCTTAATGTCATAGTTATTGTTACTGGTGAGCCAAAGAGAGCATCCTACTATCTCACTGGGGAGATGCCAGCACAGGCAGCAGGCTGCTGGTAAGTGCTAGTGGTTTTCACCGCAGATTGAGCTAACAGACATATAGTGCACTCTTAATGGACGTATAACACCCCCAAACCCACTGCGGTCTGATGAACACCTCCGCCAGTTTCCTGTAAGCTTCAAAAAAAAAAAAAAAGGTAACTGCAGAGACAGTGACAGGATATTTTTTCTGATTCCTCTGCAGCTACATGGGTTTTTATTATTTCTTTGCACAATATCAGCTCAAAGTTTCAAAGTTGTGACTGATTTATTTACATTAATGCATAATCACGTGAGAGTCCGAAAACAATTACTTGATTTAGCTATATACCAGAGATTTTGTGCCTCAGGACTTTTGGTAATTTACAACTTTTTGAGGAAGAAGAGAGAAAAGAAATTTTCTTTTTTTTAATGGAAGTCCTGGAAAACATTGAGTCAAGTCATGTCATCATGTGGTGCCTTGGATTGATTTTGTACATGCCAGAAGTCCAACCTTACAGTTTGATTTAGCACAAAAACAAAGCTCACACAAAACCAAGTGAACCTTCACAAGCTTCATCAAATCCTGTTTAATCCAGTTTTTCTCCCTTTCACTTTTAGTGCAGAGATTTCTGCTTGTAAGCATCAATAAATATGGTCAGCATGGTTCATTAGTATTCTTGTAGCACTGAATCTAAGTGGGATGAAACCTCACTGGAGAATCATTCGGACGTAAGCAAGGAGTGCCAGCAGCGCAGTGCTATGACTTGTTTGCACTGAGAGCATCGACGCCTGGAAATGTTTCCATGTTTGTAGTTAACTACTGTCACATGGGCAGTTTGGCACGATGCATTACCTGATTGGTGTGGGAAAACTCTTTGGTCACATGATTTCATCACTTTTGTTTATTCGAGGGAGGAGCACTCACACACGAAACCTGTGTGTGTCAACTCTCTGGCCCGTGATGCATCCACAGATAAAAATAAACACTTGACGTCACCAACATCTACCTCTACATGGAAACCAAATAGCATGTTTTTTGAATTAATTGCATTAATGACATCTTAGTCAGGAAGGTGTTTTGTTTTGTTGCTTTGTGAATGCATTTTTACCTTCCTACTAAATATCTCTTGTACATCAAGCAGTCTTATGCATAAAGTTACGATTCTGGTGTTTTCTTTCTTCTTGGACAGTGTGCATAAGTGCAGAGAAACCCTCATATTTCAGTGGTATTTGTAAAAATATCTCTGCTAATGAGAAGAAACATACTTTAAGACATACTTCTGTGCGCAAAACAAGTCCTCAATTTTGCCTAAACTTAAATCTGATTAGGAATTGTTGTTCAAAAGACCAAATGTGACATGAAAGATTCAAGCTTAGGGACAAAACCTACTGAGGATCTGCACCTAAAAATACTTTTATTTTCTCCTGCTGCCCGGAGCTTAACAGCATAGGCTGGTTGTACATTTCACACAACTCTTAACACAGCAACTCTCTCTCACACCTCTCTGGAGTGTTTTTTCTTTTCAACCTTTTCCCACCTGACGCAAAATCAAGCACACAGATTTTTACACTGGTCAAAACAGCTGGTGAAAACAAAGACACATTTAGCAGCTACATTTGTGATCTAGTCTTTTCTACTTCACCTTGATGTTTGAGCCTCACCGTACAGTCTAAAAATACCCCCCATCCCCTAAAACGTATCAATATTCCTTGTTTGGAATGTTTTTCATCTCATCATGTTTTCAGTTGATAAAAGATCTTGACTGCAGGCATTCCAGTTTAGCATCCAGACTCTTCTACTATGAAGCCATGCTACTGAAACAAATGCAGTATACAATTTCGAATTGGCCTTAGGGTTAAAAATATATTCCTCTAAAACGTTTTCAACATTCATGACACATTTCCACATATTCCTCCTGAATGACAAGTCTGCTTTTCAGTCTGAAGTATTTGGGCTCCATGTTTTCCAAAAAGTATTTCAAGGGTCGGTCTGTCTCAGCACAGAACAGTTTTCCATTTTGCCTCGGTCCATTTTATATGAGCCTTGGTCCACAGACAACAGCAATGTTTCTGGATCATGTTCACTTATGGCTTCTTTTTTGCATGACAGGGCTGCATTTCTGGATGGCACGGTCAGTGATCATGCCTGTTTTTAATGCAGTGCCACTTGAAGATCACAGGCACCTGATATGTTTTTTCAGGCTTGTCCTAAAGTCCTCACAATTTCATGTTGAGAAAAATTATTCTGAAATTGCTGCACAATCTGGAGATACTCTTTTTTTGTTTTTTGGTTACTGCATAGTGATAAACCTCTGACCTTTTTTACTTTTGAGAAGCTTTGCCTCTCTTACCTGCTTTTATTACAATACAGAATCATGTTACTGAGCTGTTGTCAGGTAAACTAACCCTTTTGGAGACGTGTTGTTGCCACCAAATTCAAAATAACCTAGCATTTTTGTGGTTTATGGAATTTGCAAATCATTGCATTTTGTTTTGATTTCCATTTTAAAATGTCCTAACCTTTTGGAACTGGGGTTGTATATAGAAGATGACTTTATATTATCTATAAAAAAGGGAAAGGGAACTGTGGTTCCCTGAGGTTTTTCCCATTTTTCAGGCAAATACTTGCTACTTACAAGCCCAGCTGTAAAAAAAAAAAACCTTGAAAGATCGTGTCACAAACCAGAAATGGAGATGGAGTGCCTTCAAAGTAAACGTTGTGCCTCGGAGCTTTTACTTTGAAGGCAAACTTTCTGAATGTGTTGCTGCCATGCCCAGACGTTTCACAATTTTATTGCATCTCTATGACTGCATTTATAGACAAATGCATTCCATTCAAAGTCTGTACTGTGTATACATGCAAAAATAATTCTAGTCATTCAAACATCCATTTATTTACACAAAAAAACTTTTTTTTCAAGAAGTTGAAGTAATCTATAAAATTTTTCATTCTGGGACCTTGCAAAGCGGTCATGTGATCACATACATACATCAGCACAACTCCATTTTTGTTCCAGAGACTGTTTCTACAAATGTGGACACTGGTAGCGCTCTTTCTTCGCAGGATTAAGCGTGATATAACCAGTGTTGGGTAACATTACTTTTAAAAATAGCATGTAAATTTAAAAGATTACTGGATGTAAAAAGTAATCTGTTACATTAAAGCATTACCTAAAAAAATAAAAACAAAAAATAAAACCCCTTTTGCATACAGCATGCTGGTTATACGTCCAGAGGGCTTGTAGTCTACTGTACTGACTTTACTTCATTGATTAGCATGTTGACAGCATCATCTTCAGTTCCACAGAACCAGCATCAAGCTTGTTAATTTCCCTCGTAGAGCAAGCTTTAGCTGAAGTTTTGGAGAAGCAGAGTGTGGTGGAGCACGACTGCGGGGAGGCGGACACACCTGACTTGCATTGGGTCATCAAGCCTCCCTGGCATATGAGAGTGAACTGGCTCCTGAATGGTGTTGTTGTTGGTGTATGGGCGGCTGGGAGCTGAGAAGATGCAACCGCGAGAGTGTTCGAACAACAACCAGGAAAGTGTGTGCTAATGAGTGTTATAATGTGGTCCATCATTCATGCCACATACAGTCATCAGTCTCTTTCTCAACTGGCCTTACCACTTACTTTGATTGCAGATTACTTCAAAACATGAAGCACAGCTCCTTAGCAGCTGACAGACAATAAATATAACTGTGGTACACAGTAATTCAAATTCTTCTGCAATATAAATGTTGTCATATGCACAATCATGCTGGCTGAGCTCTACAACTGGTTACATTCCAGTATGTAGCTGGATGCTAATGAGTTATAAGGAGCCAAAAATATTGTGAAACAAAACAGGAAATATTTAATTAGGTACTTTTAAATATTTAAAAAGTACCTAATTGAGATTGTGAACTGAAAAACAACACCCCCCCCAAATTTTTATCTAAGGACTTTTTACTTTGTTACGTTTCACACCCAACACTGATTATAATAGCTGCATCCTGCAAAAAAAAAAAAAAAAGGATGGAAAATACTATTAGCATTAACCGTGACATTGTCCTGAAAGTAGTCCCTCTTAACAGGAAAATTATATTTTGACCAAACTTTGGGACTTGTTCCATCTATTCCAGTTTGATTTTGTGTTGGAGACCACTCTGCTAAACACAGTCTTTATGTGGTCCATCAGTTTAGTTGCTGCCTCTCTTTCTCCAATTTGCTCTTGTCATCAATGTGATCGTCCTGCTTCTCTATTACTTTGTGTCCGATGGATTCTTTACGGACTATCTCTGTGTTTGTGCCATCAGAAGACAGAGGAATAACTTCAGCGCAGGTATCTGTCATGTAGTTAGCCTCCTGTGCATTATTTGTAGAGATTACTCCATCATTATGAGGGGGCAGTTCTACTGTGTGGACCTCTCCTCCTTCCTCCAAATCTGTAGCAATTTTCACCCAAATTTTTGTAGCACTGGGTAAGTTGGGAGTTTCAGGACTGGCTCTAATCTCCTCAGTGAGGTTTAATGGCGTCTTTAGTTCAAAATCCTTTGATGCTTTTTGCTCCTGCTTGTCTGTGTCCTTCTCTGGCTTTCGGAACTGGCGTCTGAGAAGGATGATGACAGCAATGAGGAAAAAATAAGAGGAGCCACTGATACAAGTGATCAAACCCAGGAAAATGATCCTAAAAGTAGAGAACAGAATTGGATTGAGGCAAATCAGCAAAGGTCTTTACAACAATTATAATACTAGTCAATAATTTTTGGCAAATTTGTTTAAATAGTGTAAACTGGAATTTCTCCGTGTGGTACCTGTACATATCAGAGTTGTAAATACGGCATGCCCCCCTACCGCCACAACTCTTCATAGACCATTTAAGGCAAGTTGAATCAATCAAAGCGCCGAAATACACCGGTGCAGGAATTCCACCTACAGACAGCATTGGCAATGGGGACAAAACTTTTATCCAGAGAAAATAAACCTTTTGGGATTCAAGCAGAGTGACATATATTTATGCTTTACGTCAAAGTGAAAGTACTGAAGCTTACCAAGAGTCCTAGTTACCAAGGTCTGAATACCCAGAGCAAGGGATTTGAGCTCGGGTGTGATGCATCTGCAAGTACAAAACAAAACAAATCAAGAAAATAAGGAGTACATTATAAAAAATAAACCGGTGACGGTAGGCTGACAGGTCTCAATAGCAGCAATGGATAGACGTGAAGTGATACACAGGATGCAGGAACAGACTTTGGCTAGGCTAAATTTTAGTGGAATTATTGGGGAACTATCTTGCAGTTTTTGCTTAATACTGTTATTTAATGCTGGACATTAGTTCTTTAAAAGGTGAAACTATTCCTTTAAACCCTTTTCAGGTGATACTTACGTACGTTCTTTCATTGCATGTGTCACCACCACACCACCAAACTTGTCAAAAAGTAACTTTGTTTATGCTTCCCTTGAGTCAGGGTCACAGCAGCCAATACTTGATTGCATCAAAACAGCAAAGTTTTCTCCTCTCACTGGAATTATCTTGTCTCTGTCTTTCTCTCTGTCCGCCTTTCCATTTTGTTTCTTCTTGCTCTGTGTGTTTTTCTCTTAGTGCCTCCCTCCTGCTCCTTAGCAGCCAGTGGATTGATGTGCCTCCATGTCAAATGATCAATCATCCTGAGTAGTTTATCTAACCAGGTATTTTATCCAGTCTTTGCATGATCGTTCTATCATCTTTTGTGGCAGAAGACAATGTGTCAAAGGTTTAAACCTTCCTGTCTTTGTGCCTCCCAGGTTTTTAACCTCACCAGCCCTCCGCATGCCTGCTCAGTCTCTATTTGGCCCCATTACTTTACGCTTCCAAGTTCCTGCCAGTCTATCTATACTCTCTCCACCTCACTTAGCCGCGTTACGTTATAACTATTTTGAGTCCTTCCATTTCACTGTCTACCACTACTTTAGGCTGCTCATAGACGTGATAGCAACACTAAGTTTTTACAGACCGTATAATGACCATGTAGCCAGGTGTGGCTCCCAGAGCATTGATAAAGGAGCTGAGAACAGATATGGCCATATAGGAAGTGAAGCTTCGGCTGCAGTCCTTGGCATGAGGGCACTGGCCCAGTCTCACTGATGTACTGCTGCCTGCTGGAAAGGAGGTGGACACACAGGTGCAGTTGTGAAAGACCTGGGAAAGAGAGAATATTTACATTTATATATATTTTCATGTCTTTTACATCCAGGCATTTTTGGAACTGGATTGTAAAATTATTTCATTTTGCATTTTCTACCCAGGAAAAGTAAGCATTGTTAATCAAACACGTTAAAAGTCCATAAAATTACACTTTTTAAAGTTTAAAGCAACTGAGATTTGAGTTTCCTGAAGAGACAAGGGACAAAACTGCTCTCCACGTAACATCTGACACTTCACCCAGAGGATTTTATAGTCGAAGAAAGGGTAGGGGATATTTACAAGAGCATAAGAAGAAAAGCACATAACAGCTAATCAATAACATTTACAACAATAGGAAAATACACTGAGAGTACACGCTGAAAAATGCTTTAGTAGCAACAGTGTAACATCATGCCTCCTGGCTAACATCATCTTCCTCAACAGCAACTAGTAGAAACATTGAAGAACAACAATAGTGATGATTTTGTACTGGATTATATCTTTGCAACACAAATAATCTAATCTGTAAGTATTATATACAAGTACTATATGTGATCATGTTTCAGAGAATGCTGCGAAACCTCTGCTAACTTCTCGAAGTAATACTTGAAATTTTGTGAAAACAAAACTGAATATTGAAATGTACTGCTACGCTCAAGCTATATCACAAACACTGACATATGTGCTTTCTATTCATTTATTATACATGCAACAAAATAACACTATATACTGTATGTGTCTGATCAAATTGATACATTTTGGGGTTAATTAAAAGTTGACCCTTTTTTAATGTTAATTGACAAGTGTAAAATAATTAGATGGTAATGAGTGAGCTTTTAAAAGAGAGTGAGTTTTCAGTTTTTAAAATAGTTTTAAAAGACTTTTAAAAATAGTTTTTAAAATGATAAAAAGTGAGAAAAGTGGAGGATTTTTATTATTCTGACTGCTTATCATGGTTACATGGATGGTATTCATTAGACCACCTGTCACAAAAAATAAGAAAACACAAGTATTTTAGAAATCTGTAAATATTATATTGCCGGTTCAAGCCCTGGCTCCAACCGTCTCGGTCGTTGTGTCCTTGGGCAAGACATTTCACCCATTGCCGAATGGTGGCGCCAGTGTCTGGCAGCCTCGCCTCTGTCAGTGCGCCCCAGGGCAGCTGTGGCTACAACATAGCTTGCCATAACCAGTGTGTGTGAATGGGTGGATGACTAAATGTAGTGTAAAGCGCTTTGGGGTCCATAGGGACTAAGTAAAGCGCTATACAAATACAGGCCATTTACCATCTTACAATGCTGTGATTGCAGCCATTCCCCAACTCTCTGTGAATGGTACTCATTGCCTTTGATCAGTGGGTTTTGATGAGGGGTTGTTGATCAATGGTCATGAGAATTTGCATATTAACAATCAAAGAACTGACCTCACAGCCCATTGTTCCCAGTGTACTAGTTTCAGTCAGTTTCAGTCAGTGGTGCTGGTTTCAGACATTCTAGCATTAAAAAAAAATATTTTTTTTATTGATTGAAGAGCTTTCACATACTGGTGAATTAACCATCACAGTACATTTTAAAGCATTGTAAAAAAATATTTTATTTCAGAATTTAAGCTATCAAAGCATTTTGATAGCTTAAATTTTCTTAATTTTTTTCAGTGTCGCTAATAAAGGGTGTTCCTTTGAAATGGCCCACAGTACTGCTTATGAACATGTTTTATCAGGTTACAGTGGTTCAACCTCAGCTCAACCCATGTGTCAAAGTGTTGAAGTGTAATTGGGAAAGATACTGAACCCTAAGAACTGCCTTTGATGTGTGTCATCACTGTGTGTGAGTAAAAGTATAAATGTAAATGAAAGGGATACAAAGTGCCGTGAACATGTGGTCTGTGAAGCTCTCTGAGTGGTCAGTAAGAGCAGAAAATGTAAATGCAATCCATTTACCATGGGAGTGCTGTTCAAATGCATTTAAGGATGAGACATATATAAATATCAAGAGTTCATGTTACAAAGTAGCAGTATTTAAAATGTAATGTAACCTCAATACACCGCAATCAAGACATTCTTGACCCAAATATCTTCCAACAAGTGGCTGATACACATGTTTACACTTTACATTATACCTCTGTGCTCTCTTGTAATTGTCCTTACGGTGTTTTTGCCGTGTCCGCTGGAGCTGAGGCAGCCAGCCATGCATGGGGAGATGTAAGTGATGCCGCTATCTGAGCAAACGGGGTCCCACTCCTCTGCTGAACACAAGCAGTCCCTGTTACACTCAGAGAAGAGCATTTCTCTGCTGTACAATACACCTTTTGTCCTGCAAGGGAGTGAAGCAATGGATATTTTGATCTACAGTGGACACAGGAAGAAAGTTGCTAAATCAGTGATATTTGTCTCAACACTGACCCGTTGTACGATACAGTGAGCCCCGCTATGGGTATGTTATCACACTTGGTGCCAAACTGCAGCAGCATGAGGAGATAGGACATAAAGGATGTTGCAAAGGAAAGCTTAGCTCCTGATACCACACTCAGCTTATACCTCTTCATCAGCAGCCCTCCGAGGAAGATCCCTATTGCCACTGCTGGCAGGTTCAGGACACCTGAAGGAAACACAGGGGAATATTGCTTGTATACTTCATACATCATATCACATATACATACTTTATACCAAGCACATTTTCCTTAATGATTATTAATGATTTGTTTGTTAGATGTTAAATATTTGAGTGCATTTTGATCATTTAAACCTTATCTAAAAGTACACACTGCTTATTCACAGAAGGTGAACGTGTTACAACCCGGCTCAAAAGCCCCAACATAAATAAGGAGAAGAATACCAGAATTTCAGTGAGAAGAGGTTTTATCTTAAAATGCATAGCAGGTTGGCTAAAATGGCTGGAACCACCAAGGCAAAAACTAGTGAGCCTCTCTCTGAAAGCCTGCTCCAGGTATGCTTTTATCCACACCTGAGTAGGTGTGGCCAATTAGCACCAGCTGAACACACTGAGGAGATTAGGGGCTGCAGAAGGGTGTAACACTGTTGCCAGCAAATTAATGGTATCTAAAAGTCATGCTCTGAAGAAATAGGAAAAAATCTAATAAAAAAAAAAAGATCTGACACAGGACATGAGAGATGCATCTCTCAGAGGAATGTTGGCTGTGAAGAAGCCATCCTGAAGGAAGGGAAATGAGAAAAGGCAGAAGTGTGCAGGGTTGGCGCTGGGTATCTATACACCTACGAGTACAGTTTTCCTTCACAGGCTGTCCTCTCCGAACCTGTTCTGAGTTGATTTATCAAGCTCTGAAACAGTGTGGGATAATTTTGACAGAGAACAGAACAAAAGGCAGCCAAAGGAGAGCTTTGAATGTTTTTAAAGAAGCCTGGAGAACTATTCCTGAAGGGTAGCAAATTAAAAGAAAGTTTCTCTGGGAGTGTTCAGGCTGTGTTGTGTTGGTGGTCATTGCAAATGCTGACCTTCAAGCTTGATAGAGTTGTAAAAACACTATTTTCATGTATGTTTGAACACGTGTCAATAAATTACTGCGCCTATGTTCCACTTTTCTATCAAAAGTTCAATATGAACACATAATTTATTGATTTCAGTATTTTTACCTATGAGGAAGTTTGCCCTGGATGCAGACTGTCCAAACTGTTGCTCCATGTATTTGGCTTTAAAGGTGAGTAGACCGATGAATGCATTGAACTTCAGGATGTTCCCGCAAAGAAGCAGGAAGTAAGCAGGAGTTCCTAACAGATGCCTCAATGATGGAAGGAACCCTGGGCAGGAACATCCACAAAAATCACGTAAGATCCATCAACCTGCACATGCAAACAGACGACGACTCTACCTTTGGCAATTTCAGTCAGCTTGAAGTTTTGGTTGTTGCTTTGCGCATCCTCTGTCTTGTTAAGGATCTCGCAGACTGGAGTTTCATGGTTTTCTTCACTCTCCTGCTTGGGCATCGAACGGGGCAGAAACCAGAAGGGAATGCTGGAGATAAGCAGAAGGCCAGAGGACACAAGAAAACCCATCCACCAAGCACCCACCCAGCGGGAATCTTTAGGAGTGATGGTCACACTTTCTATGTAAAAGAGAAGAATTTTCAAGTTTTCTTCAGGAAGTCTTCAAATAAAGGCTTCGCATAAACAAGTCTCAATCAAAATATCTCTGTTGACAAAAGTGTAGACTGGCTAAAATGTTTTTAACTTGTGAAAGTTTGTTCTTTAACTCTTGTTACCCCCATCCAGCTTCTTGGCCTTACACGGTACATAAACTTGATTTGTTAGACAAAGACAGTTTTGTCATTTTAGCCTCCAGACCAGGGTGCCCAATCCCGGTCCTCGAGAGCTACCGTCCTGCAGCTTTTAAATGCATCCCTACTCCAACACAGCTGAATCAAATGGTTTGATTACCTCTTCAGCATGCCATCGTGTTTGGCAAAGGCCTGATAACAAGCCATTCATTTGATTCAGCTGTGTTGGAGTAGGGATGCATCTAAAAGCTGCAGGATGGTAGCTCTCGAGGACCAGGATTGGGCACCCCTGCTCCAGACCATCCCATTCAATGTCAACCCAAATAATCATGATGTGATTGAAGTGCAGACTTTAACTTTTAACTTTAATTAAAAAAAAATGTTTGCATTAATTTTACAGTCAATTTGAAATATTTGATTTAATTTATTTAAAATATTTGATTTAAAATCCAATGTGGTAGTGTATAGGCAAAATTGCAGAGAAATGTGTCATTGCCTAAAAAGATCTAAATGTGTACATTTTCTTTTTGTTTCTAACGCAGACAGGTTTTTATATTCTTTCAGGTAAAATCACTGCTTTGAATTTTGTCAGCTTTTGCCATCTATCGGATACTTTTAAGATGAGCTCTAACCATAATGAGTCGTGTATCATGTAAAAAACAAAAAACAAAACCCAGACACACAAAGAAAAACCTTACCCATATCAACATATCCAATGTCAACATATAGTCTGGCACAATAGGAACCCAAAAGGAAGCCAAACATGGGACCCAGGAGAGTAATGGTCTGGAGACAAGCTGCCAATGACAAAATAGATCAGAAGTCTACGATGTGATATTAAACAATCTAAAGAAGGGTCTCAAACTTAAATGAGCTGTGGGCCACTACTGGCACTGTCATCTCGTTGGAGGGCCACTTTAGTGGTCGAGTAGTACAAAAAAAACCAAGCGAAAACAAGAAAGCACCCACAAATATTTCCAAAAATGTTTTCTTTTGTTTGTTTTTTAAAATTTCCAATATTGTATCACAAGACAAAATTGCAAACATCAACGCAATTTCTTTTTTACCTCACTCTTAACTAACTGAAGCCTTTCATTGACCTACCAAATAAACACGTGGCCAGAATAATTTTGTTCGTATTAAAAAAATAAATAAAAAAGTGCAGACATAAGTGTACGCATCAGTTTTTGACTCTTTCACTAGACTAACACAGCCAATCCCTCCACATGTTTGTAGTCTCTGCTCATATTGCCTTCATATTAGATCATTTTTTGCTTTTTAAAGAACTTATTTTAACATTGCACTTAACAACAAACACATCCTCCCTAATAAAACAACATCAAGGGCCAAACTGCATTATATGTCTTCACGTTGATATAAGGGCCATAAGTAGGGGTGAGGTGGGCCGCAAGTGGTCCCTGAGCGGCAGGTTTGAGACCCCTGATCTAAAGGATAGGGTGTAAAATGAGATATTTCCTTGACCCTCAGTTAAATTTACTGAATACGAGATTAATTGTAGGTTTACCCTGATAAAAATCACACATTAACCAGCATAAAAATGCTGTACATACAGGAATGATGAATGTGTGTATTCTCACATGGCTTATAGGGCATTTAAAGGAATTTATTAATTAATTAACACATTTTAAGTCAGGTGGAAGACTTTAAAATCCCTTTGAACCCCATATTACCAATATAAAAAGGGGAGTTTTCCGCCTTAGCAAAGTCATCGATGTAGGAGATGCCAAGAGGTGTGACTGGAGTTTCTCCAATCCCCCGCAGAGCATTCCCCAGGAATACGTAGATCCACATGCTGGAACCAGAATCTCTCACACAGGCTGCATAATGACACAAACTAGAAATCTGTGATATTGATTTTGTTACAAAGAGTTCACACACAGTGGCTCGCACAGCATCAAAGTTATACATGGAGCATGCGTACTACAATAAAAAAAACACACCAAATATTGCATGGATCCTCTTGATCAGGTTCACCAGTATTTTCCTGGCTCTGAATGAGCTTTACAGACTTAACAGCCTCAGCCTGTTCACGACACACCAGTGTTTTTTCTGGTTCTTTCTCAGTATTTAGTACACAAAAAAATACATTCTTTACTCAGTAAAATATGAAATATTTATAATAGTTAACTCATTCACTGCCAGCCATTGGCAGTGAATGAGTTAAACCCATTGACTCATTCACTGCAATTGACGGCTATAGACGTCAATGGCAGTGAATGAGTTAATAATGAACTATGAAAATATAACACAATATGCCCAATTGATTAAAGCAATGCAAGTAGTGGGAGTGGAGGGGCCAAAAATTCCTCTATACAGGAAAAAGCCCAGTTACATGAAAATGAGAAAGACACAGTTTTACATCTATATCTGCTATATCTGCTTTTTCATTACGGAGACTACGTCAAACAAGACATGAATAAAATCTGCCGATATTCAGTACCATCTTAATAGTGGCTTGTTGTATATCACCACATTGTACGTGACTTCCATTATATTTCTTTCCAAATACGTCTCATCTGAATAGCTGAACAGGATCAATAGATTGCATTTTGTGAGAGCATCACATGGTTTTGTGAGAAGCAGAATTAATTATAGTTTAACAATAGTGAGACTGAAGCAACATTGCAACTAAAGCCCATCTCAGGGACCAAAATTAATGGGAACAAGAGGAGCTCCTAAAAACACTGAAAAACACATGGGCACACAGAGCCAAACTGAATTCATTACCATAAATATTACAAATGTCTGCTTTCTTATTATTCTGCCTCCTTTCAGTCTTTTCTTTTTAAAAGTCGTCTCTCGTTGGCTAGCTCTAGAGTCTGCGTCCGGGCTTATTGTTGCGGACGTGCATGCTGTTGTGTCTTTGTTTATTCCTGGTGACAAAGATGCACCAGGAGAGAGCTGATTGGCCGGTGAGTTGTTAGTAGGTTTAACAAGGTTTCATGTTAAAGTTTCATGTTTTTTTTGTAAAAGAAAATCTACAATAACCATGAGTTTTAAGCAATAAATAAATAAGTAATAATAACAATAAATAGCTGACATTGCCATGCTATTCTCTCCTATTTACAGGTATTTACTGTACCCGCTGCAGCAGAAAGCAGAAATGCATTTGACTGCACTAAATAGTGAAAGTGAATGTTTTACTATCTGTAATTATATTTAATCCTGGCATGTATTCCACACTCTTACCTTTATTGTCCTCCAACGAAGGCTCTATTTGAATTTCTGGCACGTGATCTAGTGTTTTCAGAGGATCCACACAGGCAGCAATGCTCAGGTTGTCATTCTGAAAGACCTGAATCACCGTGTCATACTTATACCTGCAAAAAACAAACAAAAAGTCCATGTCAGTTTCTTCTGTCATCGTTTTTGCTTATAGAAGTTTCTCATTTAAATTTGACCTGTACCGTCCCATGAAGAAATGTGTGAGGCCAGTGAGAAATGCCCCCACAGCCATGAGGAAACAGCCCGCAGCGATGAGTCTGGGTCGGTGCAGCTTAGCCCCAAAATGGCTGACCACAGCTAGAAACAACAAGTTGCCTACACACACACCCCAAAAAAGATTGAAATCAAGTAAGCAAAAAGAATGACTTTTTCTCCACTGTATCACAAAAAAAAACATCAAAGCGTTTATTTTTAAATGAACTGGTTGATGTTACCCATCTCAAAACTGCCATCTATGAGACCGATGTGTGTGCTGGAGAGGTCAAAGCGCCTCTCTATCTGAGTGATGGAGCTCTTCATGTAGGTTCCTGTCAGGGCTTTGGAGAAATAGGCGAAGGAAAGCGCTACAATAAACAGCTGGAAGACAGAAAACAGAAGACAATATAAAAACTCACATTCTAATAATGCAAAGATGTTCTGGATAAAACTAGGACTATGTGTCTACATACCCAAACAATGTCATAGTGTAATCATGGAAATGATTCTGCCCCCTTTTCTGAGTCTCCACTACCTTCTACTGTGTAATTGTGGTCCTTGTTTAATGTTGCATTACCCCTTTATTCTTAACTTGAACAACAACTTATGTTGTGTTGAATCAGTGCACAAAATCTGGTGTAATGTCTTGACATCACAGTTAACAACAATAAGCTTTTTTAATTTTGACATTCTGTCTCAAAATTAATGGAAAAAAGAAAGGGATGAAAACAGAAATATGATGACTCCAGTGTACTGCTGTAATCAGGCAAAGCGTAGCTCCGGGCAGCTACAGAAGTGTCTGACGAAAGCTCATTTAGAGCAGAAATTTGGCATGCTGAGATTTTCAGTAACAACACAAGATCAGCTCTTGGCTTGATTTTACCTACTTTGGGAAAAACATATCTCTGAAAATGTTGTTCAATCAACTGAAAACAGATGTGCATCTGGCTTTCTGAGCATTTATCCACCTATCATCTATCTTTAGCCTGTGCCGGGTCAAAAGGGGAGGCTGTTAGAGCTCACTCTAGCGAGAGATGCGCACAGGCACGACAGGTTTCCTGCCTAGCGCAGGGCTGACACATGAAGAGAAAAACATTTACAGTTATGGGCAATTTTGTGTCACTGATTCACCAAAACCCGAATGTCTTTAGAGGAAACTACAACAAGTCTAAACAGGCAGCAGTGCCAGCGGGGTAAGAGTTTAAACCCAGAGCCTTCTTGCTGTGAGGAGACAGTGCTAACAACTGCACCACCTACTGCCTTTTACGCTTTTAACTGGCATTTTTATCTGGGCCACTTTACACTGAGTGCATCAACAGAATGAACCACAGTCCGAGATCAAAAGCAGGATAAAAAAGGTGTCAGAGTGTTGATCACAGATAGCTTTAGTACTTTGAGATTGGAGAAGCCAGGGCGCTTTCTGGTCTTGTGGTCGACGGGGCTACACAGAACCTCTTCGCTCGTCATGTTGGCTGTGTCCTGTGCTGTGTTTTCCATTTTCCTCTTGGTCTTCCTTTCCTTAGAGCACTAGTTTAATAGAGGAGAAAATATATTTCAGCTGCATTCATCTAATAAAACTTTACTGTGGGTATTTTCGGATTTGCTTATTTAGAAAAGCCAGTGTACATATATTTAGGTTTAAGTTTGTGATCAATGACACTTTAAAAAAGAAGTGTTTGCTATAATTCCTGAAGAGCTATTATACACTTTTGGTAAACTACTTGAATTGAAGCTGAACATCTACACTTTAGTCATATGCAGATTGTTCGCGGTGTTGCAAAAAGGCAAAATTACAAAGAATGCGTCATTGTCCCAGAAAGTGAATTCTGTTGCTCTGTAAGTGTCTTCAGTGGGAGAAATGTTCCATCATTTATGTTTATCCTAGTAAACATAAGTGCATAATTTGCATAAGAAACTGGCACCGCTGACTAACAATGGACTATGAGGCCAGGTTCAGGTTCATTAATATGCAAATTATCTTAACGATTGATCAATGGCCATGAGTACTATTCAGAGAGAGTTTAAGAATGGCTACAAGACCCCCCACTCAAACCAGCGTTCCTTCCTGCCCAGGATGTCATCCTCATCACTTAAAGAGTAGCTACTGGGCGTGACCAGGTTTCAGTGCCCTGGCCTCACAAAGTTACTCTTCAGTGATGTTGTCCTCTAGCCAGTGTGTATTTTCCAGTATAGGTTATCTCACAGCAAATATACTATACTATATTTATAAGATTAGGGAAATATGCAGTCAGCTGAGGCTGAGGACGTCACTGGGATCTGTGACAAAACAATTCTTCCATTGACAGCTTCCTGTGATTTCCTTACCTGGATGATCAAGCATGCATTAAGACATTAAAACATACCATTGTCCAAAAACCTGGTCCTAATAGTATAGATAAATCAGTAAAATGAAGGATGCATATACAAAAAGTTAGAAAAAGGAAATAAGCCATGAGAAAATGATACCAACTGCAAATGATGCAGTTGTAATGAGAAGCTATTCATCTTTACTCAGCCCAAAATCATACCTACCGTATTTTCGCAACTATAAGGCGCACATAAAAGCCTTAGATTTTCTTTAAAAAGTGTGGCGCGCCCTATAGTGCAGTGCGCCCTGTGTGTTGTAAGGAGGACGTAGTAGAGAACACCATGAGAACGCTAAAGGGTGAAGTGTGGGCGTTGCTCGTATATACCGGACAATCGCACATACCTGTATAAAAGGTCAGGTATGTGCATTATGTGGAACATCGTTGTTTTAACAACCCTGAAAATGGCAAAGAGACACGCTTATGAAGCACAGTTTAAACTGAAGGCCATCAGCTATGCGGAGGAACATGGAAATCGAGCAGCCGCGAGAGAATTTAAGATTAACGAATCGATGGTTCGCAAGTGGAGGAAGCTGGAAAACAAGCTCCGGCAGGTCAAGAAGACGCAGCTGAGTTTCCGCGGACATAAGGCGAGGTGGCCCGAGTTGGAGGAAAGACTCGAGCGGTGGATCATCGAGCAAAGAACGAGCGGGAGAAGCGTTTCGACGGTCACCATTCGACTAAAAGCGGTTTCGCTAGCAGAAGAAATGAACATTGAACATTTCCGAGGAGGTCCGTCTTGGTGCTTTCGTTTCATGAAACGCTGCCATTTTTCCATCCGGACCAGGACTACAGTAGCGCAGCAACTTCCAGCGGATTATACCGGTAATGAAAAGCTGGCCATCTTCCGCTCCTACTGCAGCAAACACATCGCCGACAAACACATCCAGCCCAGCCACATCACAAACATGGACGAGGTGCCGCTCACTTTTGACATCCCGGTGAGTCACACTGTGGAGAAGAAGGGGACCAGCACGGTAGCGATACGCACAACGGGGCACGAAAAGTCTTCTTTCACTGTTGTGCTTGGCTGCCATGCTAATGGACGGAAACTGCCGCCTATGGTGATTTTTAAGAGAAAGACTTTGCGTAAAGAGAAGTTTCCAGCAGGAATCATCATTAAGGCAAATGAAAAGGGCTGGATGGATGAGGAAATGATGAAAGAGTGGCTGAGGGAGGTGTATGTAAGGAGACCAGGTGGTTTTTTTCCACGCATCACCATCGCTGTTGATCTGTGACTCTGTGTGCCCATCTCACAGCCAATGTGAAAAAACTAGTGAAACAAATGAACTGAGCTTGCTGTCATTCCGGGAGGCCTGACAAAGCAACTCCAACCGCTGGACATCGGTGTGAACCGCCCGTTCAAAGTAAGGCTGCGAGCGGCCTGGGAGCGATGGATGACCATGGGGACCACAGTTTCACTAAGAGTGGAAGGCAGCGCCGGGCGAGTTACGCCACAATTTGCGAATGGATTGTAGATGCTTGGGCTAACATGTCTGCTGGCACTGTTGTTCGAGCTTTCGCAAAAGCCGGCATCGTTTCCGAGGAGCTGCACGGCACGGAAAGTGACTCTGACGGTGAAGAAAGTGAACCTGGAATGTTTGATGGAGATTTAGCGCAGCTGTTCAATTCAGACACAGAGGATGAGGACTTCGATGGGTTTGATTGATGACAATTACCGGTAATAAAAATGTGAGTACCAAACTCAGTTTTGCTCCTGCTTCATTTTTAAATACGCATACCTATAATCAGGTGCGCCGTGTGTATGTGTGTGTGTTAAATACAGTAATGGCACACATAACTGAGACTGCGCCTTTTAGTACGGTGCGTCTTATGGTCGTGAAAATGCGGGTATGTGCAAAACCTGAGTAAGACCATTGTTCAGAACACTGAAGTTTCTGTATAACAGTCAGGTAAAAAAGAAAGGAGTCTGTGAGAAGCTAAGTACTTATTGTAAGCAGCGAGGTGCTGTTAATCAAATACACTTGATTAACTGATCACCACTGAGTCTGAGCACCTCTATAAAAAAACACAAGCTTTACGTTGCCATTTGTGTTTATACGCATTCAAGTGTGTGTTAACACCATGTCACAATCTTCCCAGGAGTGTACAATCTAGAAAAATGAATCCCAGGGTCAGACCATGTAATGCTTAGAACTGTAAACAACCTGAAAACTACATCTCAGACTCTACAGACCTCAGTGTTAATGTTAAAGTTCATGACAGTGCATTGAGATAAAACTGAACAAGTATTCATTGTTGCCAAGAGAAAGCCTCCTCTCTAAAATACCATGACTCGGCTTTGGTTTGCAGTGTTGCACCTAAACTAAGACCAGAAAAGTGGACCACATCAGTCCAGCTCTGAGGTCTTTACACTGGCTGCCTGTCCGTCAGAGGATAGACTTTAAAGTTCTGATGCTGGTCTATAAAGCTCTGAATGGTTTAGGACCAAAATACATCAGTGACCTCCTGACCAAGTATGACCCTTCCAGATCCCTCAGGTCATCTGGATCCGTTTTTTTTTTTATCAGTTCCCAGAGTCAGAACCAGACACGGAGAAGCTGCATTCAGCTTTTATGCTCCTTACATCTGGAACAAACTCCCAGAAAGCCTCAGATCAGCTGAAACACTCAGTTTATTTAAATCCAGGTTGAAGACTCACCTGTTCTCAGCTGCATTTGAATAAAGCACCAAATCCACACTTTTAAGCTTAAATTTCAAAACTTATATTTTAACTACTGATTTTATCTACTGTTCTGATTTTATCTACTTTTTAATCAATTTTAAATCATGCTTTTTATTGTTTTTGTTTTTTAATGTCTCTGTAAAGCACTTTGAATCACCTTGTTGTTGAATTGTGCTATATAAATAAACTTGCCTTGCCTTGCCTAAAAAATCCCAAGATTTCTTGAACAATATCCTTTGGGCAGACAAGAACAAAGTGCTTTTGGTCACAATGAACAGCGGCACATTTGGTGAAAAGACAAATACAGTACAGCAGCACACACAGACCTCAAACCTACCAAGCACAGTGGTGGAGCGCTGATAATTTGAGCTTGTTTTATAGCCACAGGACCTGGCCCCCTTGCAGTCAGCTTTAGTCAGCCATGAACTCCTCTGCACACCAAAGTATTCCAGAGCCAAATGTGAGACTGTCTGTCCGATTGTTAAAGCTTAGCTGAAACTTGATAACACAATGCAATACAATCTCACGCACAGCAACAAACTTCCAACAGGGTACTCGAAAAAGAAAGCGTTGCAATGATCCAGTCAAATTCCTTTGGAATGTGGGACCTGAGCTGTGCATAAACAAATGAACTCAGTGAACTGAAGCAAAGTTGTAATTTTTCCACGACGATCATGATGATGTGAGAGATTAATAAAGGCATACAGAAAACCATTAATCCAAGTTATTGCTGCTAAAATTGGCTCTATAAGCTACTGAATCGTGGTTTTTTTTTTTCTTATTCACATGACTCTATAAACAATTCTAAACACTTTTTACAGTGCAAAGTCAATCCTTTTGGTTCCAATGCACAAGTCTGTTTTCAGTGATGGAAAGGAGGTGAAATCTAAAAGCAGATGGTACCTGTATAAAATCCAGTCCTCTCAGGTCTATAAATGTCAGGTGCTCCAGCCAAAGCCCATATCAGGAAGAAAAACTCTCCAGTGACAACTTTGGCAGCACTGATCTGTTAGAAAAACTGTGGGGGTGAAAATCTGACAGAAAAGTCCGTATGTTTTTGTCTCATAACTCCATAAATCCTTTTCAAGTTCAGACTTGTTAATACTCCCACTCAAAGTGCGGCTTAACCTTACTGTCTAAGTCGTTCTTGACCTACAAGCTCACCTTATCCTTGGTGGAAGGAATTTGAAGAAATTTAGATGTATTATTTTTAGTAATAGCAAGAGGAATCGTTAGTAAAATCACAACTGCAAAAGAAGCACTTGGGAAGTTTGATGAAATACCTAGTGCATCGTCAGGTGAAAGGGACTATGGTCTCCCCCTTCTTCTTCCTCTTTTGCTCCTCTTTAAGCAGCCATATATTGCTCTTCCTACTGAGAGCAGACAGATCTGTTCTCCCTGAGCTCCTATTCTCCCGTCTGAGGGCAAAGCTTTTGCTTGGTACAAGCAGACAAAAGGCCTCACACATTTTTATTCCAAACACATGCCAGCTAGTCCTTCCAGTGGGTGGTTGGATTTAGTGGGGGTTAAAGGGGTAAGGAGGAGGTGTGGGGGCGAAGATTAATAACTTCAAACCAGTCCCTAAGGATTTTTATTTTTCCTCACAAGGTAAAACATCAGGTGCATGGTGACGAATTATACGGGATTAAAAGTCTGCTTAAAAAGTATGTCTGTGTAAAAGGGAACTGTCAGCGTGGTGAATGTTCAAGCAGCATTTCACGCACCAAATGATACCAGATGAGTTGGATGGATTTGATGATGACCTCAAATGTGGAACAATATGTCTGTGTATTAACCTTTGCCCGAGAATGTGCTATTAGTCCAGTGACCGCAGGAGGGGTCCTGGCAGCCAAGCAGCAGGTCACACAATCAGCTTTGTCCCTGCAAACATTCCAGGGATTATGATTAGCGCCTTCACATTCCTGCACAGCAACAGCGAGGGACACATTTACTAATTACCAGAAATTATACTTGTCTCCAGAAAAGTACAGTTGACTTGAATACTTTACACGTCTTCTGCTACTATATTTAATTTAATTACAAGTGCATTCAGACAGGGATGCTGGCCATAACTGCAGCACTCCGTTTTAGACTAACAGCAGCTGTACTGCCTGGAAAAAAGATGATTTTTTAAAGATTCAATTTGTTAATGTTATTCTTTCAATTTTGCTTAAAAATCTGATTATCTTTGGTTTGTGTAACTAGAAGATGTGAGAGCACTGAAGTTGCATATTTTTTCCGTGGATATTTTCTTGTGTAGAGCACAGCCTGCAGGTGAAATAAGATAACACTTAATGCTACTAAGCATGTCATGGGATTCAGTTAACTGTTTTACCATGATGATTAAAAGTGTAACATAAAAAAGCTAACATCTTAAATTTTATCTAGACCAAACTAAAGCAGGTCAAATAGTCATTTTAGCAATAAAGGTGATTAGAAGTAATAACATAAGGGAGGTTATAACATTTATAACACTTTACACGGCGTGGCTTAAGTTCAAACATAGTCTCTAGGCCAATAAGAGAAAGGGGAGCAGTATTTAACAAGTGGAAATTAAACACAGGATAGTCAATGTTTGTTTAAAAAAGCTTATGTAATTTTAAAAAGCCAGGTTACGTAATCCAAACCTTCAACTTTAAACTAGGCAACGTGATGAAAATGCAAAAAAAGAAACAAGAAAACAGTGACAGTAAGTACCAGAAAAACACTGAAATGACTGAAAAAAGATGTACCCTAACACTGCAAAAGCACAACATTTCTTTTTATTTCAGGAGAATCATTCTGAATCAATGTTCTCAAACGGCGGAACTGTGGAACTGTTACGTTTTTATACAAAAGGCAGCCAACATAAAAAGAAGAGCTTTGAATGTCCTTTCACAAACCTGGAGAACCCTTCTTGAAGAGATTACAGGAAAGCTTGGCTAAGAGAGTTCAGGCTGTGTCGAAGAATAAAGGTGGTCATAAAGAATTGTACAAATTCTTACTTTGTCTTGTATATTGTATTTACCTGTTAGTTTGTCACTATTAATTGCGACTCTTTTTTAAATAATGTAACATATTGTAGAGCTTGTTGATTCATAACTTAGTGAGTGTATAGAGAATTCTGTCACTTTTAGAGTGAAAGGATAAAATGAGTTGTTATTCAAAAAAATGCAGAACAAAATGTATCTGGACAAAACTGGTCTTTAATGCAAGAGATATTTTTCAAGGACAAAAAAGAAATTGTAAAAAGGTTGAAAAGATTTCCAAACAACATGTACGGGCAAACTCAAATATATCCAACACTATATAGAACTTATCATTATTGCTAGTAATTTTGTCTAGTGATTGATAATACATTCAGACAACAACCATGGTGTAGGAAAGTAAAACAAAATAAAATCCAAGTTCTCATTTATCCCACTCACTCTTAGTCCACTGCCTCAACCATTACGAACTTTTTCCAAGCAAACACTGTTGAGTCGAGGATTCTGTGAACTCTCATGACCTTTGGATTTGTGTGTTACAATGTGATGTAACATATGTGTCTGAAAGGCAACCTTTTCAGAATAAAGGTTACCTCAAGCTGTTAAATGCAACTAACTTTCAATGGCCCCCTCATCTTCCTCTCCTTCATGGCTCAAAATGCATGTGCATTAAAAAAATGTGTGTCAAAGTTTGTGAGGTATTAAACTGGAAACATGGCTGATAAGCTCGTCTGGAGCTGGTGCAGAACAGTCTCTGAATGGCTAATGAGCCTTCACAATCAGTTTGATTAGCACGTATATAAAGCAGCTCAATTATTCATATTTCAGGAGGGACATTCAAACAATGAATTCACATTTTCAGTGGACACTGAGATCCTATTCTGTATGTTTATTTGACAACATGTAAATGTCTGTCACATCTACTGTAACTTAGTACAAATAAACTTATAGACTTAATAAAATAATATGTTACTCTACTAATTTCACATTTTAGGAAATATGCTAAGTCCATTCTCTAACTTAGTAAGAACCGGACTTAGAATATTTCCTAAAAATTACTGTTGCAGCAAGGCTAGCTGTAACATCAAGGATCTCTAAGACACAGTTAGCGATATGCTGTTTGTCTTCGTAGTTGTAAATCAAAGTCACTGGTGCTATAGGAAATACTGTAGCACAGCTAACTGTCCGTGACTTCTGGAGTTTCTATTCTACATGGCTTGAGCAGATGTGAGATTTAGAGATGCTAGAGGTGTTTAGACAGCTACCTATTTTTCCATGTTTCTACTCTTTGTGTTATACTAAGGTAAGTGACTTCACATAGACAAAGGAGTGGTATTGATTTTTAGAAAACTGCACATAAGTGTATTCCCCCAAAACTTTATATTGTATATTTATGAAATTAACTAATAAAAAAATATTACCAGGTTATGCTACCACAAGCAGTATGTGGTACATATAGTATATACATGTCTATCAAACTAGTACTCCACAAAATCACTTTTAAAATAAGCTTGTAGGGTAAGACATTGTTAGCTTTACCTGACCTAATGCTGCTTGAGTTTAAACAGAGGATCAGAGACAAGCTTGTTTTGAAAATCTGACACGTTTTCTTCTTACTTTGTCTCAGCATACATGAACTGTGTGTTTCTGCTCAGGTGTGTTGCTGACAGATATTAAGAAAAGCATGTGTCCCTGCTCTGTTTTCTTGACTGCATGTTCTTGTACTGCAGGGGTGTCAAACTCAAATACACAGTGGGCCAAAATTCAAAACTGGAACAAGGTCGCGGGCTAATGTTAATATTTACTGAAAAAAAAATCTTCCTCCAGATTTAAGAATGAATCTCTTCTTATGGACTCAAACAAGTTTTGCTGAAAAACTGAATATGGAACAAGCAAAGCTTAATACTAAACAATATATATATTAGCTGTATAATACCAGTAGGCCAGCTCTAATAATAATTTAGTATTGGCTTCGCGGGCCAAATGTAATTAGGCTGCGGGCCAAATTTGGCCCGCGGGCCAGAGTTTGACACCTATGATGTACTGTATAAAATGTGTCATTTTAGTTTTATTAAGCTTTGTTACATTTTAGAGCTTTGTTACATTTTACCCGAAAGAACAAGGTTTACTGCTTAATTCCGAAAAGTACTGATGCTGTAGAATGACCAATATTTGGTCCAGTATGGATGCAGCACAATATTCAGGCATTCACTTATATTTAACAATAGTGTGGTCTTCCTAAAACACATTAAATAGTGCACTCCGTGCCCATGTCGTCTATGTCTGCAATGTTGATATTGGCATGTCCATTGGTCACTGCATTACTCTCCTGTCCATTTTCTTTGGACTGATTCTTCAGTGCTATTTTCTTCTGTCGCTTGACAATGCTGTAGTAGAGGTAGCCCCACACTGTGTTGGCCAAGAAGTAGAGTCCAGTAATCATTCCTAGGTATGTAAGTCTGAAAGTAAAGTACATCGTAACAAATTACTGAAAATTCATCTGTCTGATTGCTTGCTCTAATTTGTATGTTAAACATTTTTGTTTACATAAAACATATATTTGTACAAGTCAAACTGTCTGTGTACAAGTTTAGGTACACAAAATTCTATAAAATATAAAGATTGTCACTTCACTGGTTAGAAATCCCTGCATTGAGGTAATTAAACTGTGGTACATTACAAGTGACATATTCAAGCACAATGATGAAGATTTAATTGTACCTAAACGCATTAGCATTATAGAGTCTGCATGCTCCACGGCCACCGCAATGCTTCGTACCCCACTTCAAACAGGTTCGGTCAATCAGTGCTCCAAAATATATAGGTGGAGGGATGCCACCTGTAAAACAAATCACATGTGATTAAAAAACAGTTTTACCCCTAAAGGCTCGATGTGTGGGTTGGGTTTTAGTTTTAGTACTCACCCAGAGTTCTTACGATCAGTGTCTGCATACCCAAAGCCAGCGACTTCAAGTCTGGTTGTATAGACCTGAATTGTTGACCAAATTATACCATATCAGATACACATGTGAGCATTAAAACACACAATAAGGTGGTATCAGATTGGAACTTGAAATTCAATTAATATCGTATCAGATAATTTAAAGAGTAAAAAAAAAAAAGAAATCATCAACTGGCAAAATTTATGGCAATTGTAGGCATATTTAGTGTACATAGTGGTTCTCTTTTTTAAAAAGAGAGTTGCTAACTTTTTCCTAATACATTTTAAAACAACAGGTCTTTTGAGGAGTAGATCTCCTTTGGTTCCAGTTTCAGTGATACCATAAACAGTATATGGTACATATAGTGCTGGGGAGTAATGGAATACATGTACCGGCGTTACATATTTAAAATACTAAATATGAGTCACTCTATTCCATTACAGTTACTGTTTAAAAAGGTGGTATTCAGAATACAGTTACTTTGTTGAAATAAATGGATTACACAGCGGTCTTTTCTTCAGTTGTTATTCAAAAGAATGAGGTCCAGAGGCCCCTTTACTACAGTTCGGAGGCGCGGGCCCGGCGTGGACCCGTTTTATATCCATGCAGAATAGTTTTCTATACAAGATTGCTGCAAGTTTTCAGAATACGTTACTCTCATTGAGTAACATAATGGAATACATTACAAGTACATTTTGGGGCATGTATTCTGTAATCTGTAGTGGAATATGTTTTAAAAGTAACCTTCCCAACACTGGGTACATATTGTATATACATGTTTGCCAAACTATGACTCCAAAAAAAATGGATTTTTGTTACCCCTAAAAGCTTGAACATCTGCTTAACCACAAACTTAGAAGCAGATGTTCTTTAGTCAAATTGTGTCTCGCACCTGAGCAGAACAATGTATCCTGGCGTTCCTCCACAGGCAGAAATGTAGGACCCAATTACAGACAACGCCATGTAGATTTTAAATTTTATGTCACAATCATCCTTCCTGGGACACTGGCCCAGCACTGCAGATGCGTTTGCAGCTAGTCCTGCCTCATTAATGCAGGTGCAGTTATGAAACACCTAAAAACCAAGAAGAAAAAGTTAAAAATCAGCCTTAATTGTGGTCTGTCGGTGAGTTTGAGCTGTTTTTTATTTTATTCACAGTAAATCTTTATCTGTTCTAAGCTCTCTGTTTGTCTAGACCATCATCACCATTTCTTTGCCCATTCCGGTGGAGGTCTGGCAGCCGGCCAGGCAGGGTGAGGCATAAGTCATGCCGTTGTATGCACAGACCGGGTCCCAGTGCTTCACTGAGCAGAAGCAATGTCCATTGCACTGAGACAGCAAAGTCTGTGGGTTGTAGGACACTTGAGGGACTCTGGTACAGACAGACAAGTAAAGACACATTAACACTGTCAGTGGAGACATTTATGAGCATATTTTTAGTTTATAAGACTAAAATAAACTATTTAACTTCCAAAAATTTAGTGTAACCTAGCTTAACAAATAGGCTTGTGTGTCCATTCCACTCACCTCTGATATGACATGCTGAGACCAGCCACCTCTGCATTTTCACACTGGACGAAAATCTGAACGGCAAGCAGGCAAAACGACCCCAAAGAAGCACTAACTGCCACCCTGGCTGCTCCAACAATACCCAACTTGAAACGCTTCAGCAAAAAACCTCCAGTGATGAAACCCAGAGCTACCGCTGGCAGGTTCAATATACCTACAAGGAAGGATAGAAAAGTTATAAACATGAACCTTTTCAGTGTGTCAAAATTTTAGCTTTGTCATAGTAACATTCGTTCTGCAAATCAGCTTGTAACACATAAACAGGAGCACTTGAATAGTAAAATAGGTGGATTTAGGAACTGCATAAATTCCAGTTTTCAGTATATTTTCTGAACCAATTTTATTTTAACAAAAAGGTAACTCCATAATGTTTTCACAATCCAGCAAGAAGCTCTTGCAATTGCAGCAATGTATCATAAGCAGACTTTGCAGGTCTACTTATGTCCATTCATGCGCAGAGCACTGAGTACACACAAAAGTTGTTTGCATTAAATGGTTTTGTTCAGCAGCCAACTGTTTTTATAACGTTTGGTGATAGAACAATTCATATTCTAACAATAACCCTGCCGGTTAGCCACTTGGTAATTAAATGCTACTTGACAAACATTCTAGCTCACACACACACACACACACACACACACACACACACACACACACACACACACACACACACACACACACACACACAGAAAAGGAGTAGTTCTTGCATTTTCAGTCTGCCTTATCACTCGCAATCAGACTTCCCTTCAATAACATCATTGTTTCAGTTGCCTTGGGCTACATAGTGAAGAAAACAGAAAGTGAATGAAAGCCAGTTTTTGCTCCGTACCTATGAGGAAAATGGCTTTGGTGGCTGACTGGCCGTAGACTTGCTCTATGTACTTTGGCTTGAAGGTGATCAGGCCAATAAAGCCGTTGACAGTCACGAGGGAGGCAAGGATAATCAGCGAGTAGATTCTGTTTCTGAAGAGTCGCTTCAGAGATGGAATGAAATCTGGTGAAGTGCAAAGCACATCAAAGAGAAGAGGAAAATACTTTTATAGACACATAAAACTAAGTAAATATAAAGTAAAATAAAAATATTATTGCTGTGTTAAAATATTGTATAAACTATCTATTAACAGGATAGGGGTTGTAAGGCATGCCTGATTGTAATGACATAAATTACCTCGTTACTAAACCTCGTTTTCCCAGTGAGAATGTACTATTTATCATGTTTAATGCTTTTCATGATGGATTTTTTGAGATCAAAATTTAATAATAATCTCAAATTATACTAAATGGGAATTTGAATCTAGCAGTTATATCTACAAAATTATGCATTTTCACGAGACTTTCTTAAAGATCTGTTAGGATAAATGCTCTACTGAGCAGTGAATTACCTTTAGCCATTTCCTGAAATTTGACTTTCTCCTGGGTTTCCTCTGGCAGGAATTGTTCCTGCTCGGTCTTTGTTGCAAGCTCTGTGCTTTTGCTTTGAATTTCCTCTTGCTCTTGCCCTTGCTTGGGTAAAGACTTTGGAAGGAAAAAAAATGGGATACTAGACAGTAGAACCACTGTGCCAGTCACTATGAAGCCCAGCCACCAGGCTCCCACCCAGCGGGAGTCCTTATAGGTGATGGTGATGGTGTCTGGAAGAAGGGGAAAGGCAAAGACCGCAGGTTATTACAGACATTTTATGTGTAGGACTTTTATAAGTGACTTCTAAGCCCTTTCATCATAACAGCTTAGTCATTTTTAGAAGTATGGAGGCAGTTCTCTGGCTCAGGGAATGTCAATAGCTCTAATCCAAGTAGTGAAGGAAGAGTTTATGTCAACTATGTCAACAGGATGAAGTGTTGTGAAATCCTCTTGCTTCTGGTAGACCCATAATTACTCAGTAAAGAAATGGTTTGACTTTTGTAATGTCATGTTGCGTTAGAAAGTCCAAATGGAAGAAAACATTTTGCTAAATTGAGACACGAATGAGTTTCAGCGTTGCTCAAGTCAACCAGAAGTCTTCTCTGCCTAATTAAACACTTCATTCAGGATATTACTAACATCGCAGGTAAACATTATTGTTACACAATATTAAAAATTACTTTTTGTAATACCATACCTAAATTCACAAATCCAGTGTCCACATAAATCTTGGAAAGGAAGGACCCAAGCATGAAGCCAAACATAGGTCCCAAGATTCCTACTGTATGGATGCAGGCTGGCAAACGGAGCGGAAAAGAGAAGATAAGTATTGAGCAGTTTGAGATTTGGCCATGATGGAGGAGTACAGCGGCCTTCTGAACTGTTTAGGATTTTAGGCAGTGAGGAAACACCAAGGGATAATTGAGTACAAGGTCAAAGAAATGTCAAAAAACAGAGGGTAATATGTCAAAGTTCATGATACAGCAGTTATGAAAAAATGGATAAAATAATAAATATAAGTGGATAGTATTAAAATGCATGAAAACAGTGAAAGACAGCAAAACCGTAAATGATGACTAACCCAAATAAAAAGGGGTGTTCTCTTCTCTGGAGAAGTCATCCAGATAGGAAATTCCCAGTGGCATGACGGGAGTCTCTCCAATTCCTCGCAGCATGTTTCCCAAGAATACATAGATCCACATGGGTGAACCAGCAGCCTTTTCACACTCTGGGGGGCGGGGGGAGAAACTTGACTTTACATTGTGCATATCATGAACGGAATAGTGTATAAAATCTAAAACAGAAAAATGACTAAAATCACCCCGAAACAGTCTATTTCAGACTTGAGTGATCTTACTTCTGATCCATTGCAGGGAATGTGGCTGCTAAATACCTAATTTGGTCTCTGCATCAAGTGTGTCATCTGCATCAGTCATGCTGTGGTTGGACAGACAGGGCAGGATGGTCTCAGTGCTGTTGACAGCAGCTTTGTGAGACACACTGGTCTCATATTTATACCTGGAAAATATTCAAAGTATTATCTGAAAATTGTGAAACATGTAAGTACACATACTCCTTCATTTCTTGGATGCTATAGAACACACATGCACTTTTAGCCATTTTATGCGATTACAGCTTTTGGGCATTTATGAATCTTATCAAACATTTCCAGTCTTTATTCTCTGGGAGCTCAACATAACTCTTAGTAATCTGATTATTTGATTGGTTCATTGTTATATTCATGAAGAAGAAGGAAACTTTGTACTGACAGTCCCTGGAAGAAGTGAGGCAGGGCTACAAGGAAGGATCCCACAGCCATGATCAGACAACCAATTCCAATCAGTCTGGGACGATGGAGCTTGGCACCAAAGTAGCTCACAAAGGCGATGATGAGCAGGTTGCCTGTAGAGAAGAATTAAAAATAACTAAGAATGATTATGGAATGAATCAATGAACAGCTACAGTCTTTGCCAGGCATGAGAGTTCAGCAGTCTGCTTATCTTTATAACATAACCTGAAATTTGTGCTTTGTAGTCAATAAATTAGATAAATTCCTGTAGTTGATATAAACCATAATGCTAACATGCTGCATTCAGTATAAAAAAGCGCATACCCATTTCGAAGCTGCCATCTATAACACCAATCAGGGAGCTTGGGATATCAAACCGTCTTTCAATCTGTGTGATGGAGCTCTTCATGTAAGCTCCAGCAAAGGCTTTGGCAAAAAATACAAATGCCATGGAGGCCAGGAAGAGCTGGAAAACACACATAACCAGTTAGATTGAGCTTTTCTAGATTTAATTGGACTGGATTACTGGAAAGAGCTGCCAAATGGTTTCTCAGAATTTCTTTAAACAGTCAAAATGATTGTTGTGACCTGGATGATTGAATTGTAATCCCTTCTTCTGATGTGACCTATAGGGAGGTGAATGACAGTGTTTCCCATAATAGAATCAACTCACACACTAAACATACCCACAGCACTTCACAAATGCTTTTACCAGTGATTTACATTAAGTGACATTTGATGGGATTAGTGTACTGATACCAGAATAAGAGTGGTTACAACAGATTTTAAAAACCCACCACACTAATTTATCACTTATTAATCATCTTTCCTGAACTGATCTTGTCAAAGTTGTAGCACACACCACTGGGAGTAATAGATGATCCCACTATTGATCCCATCAGGGTAAAACATTAAGCACTAGACAAACTCTGTTTATTGTTTCTAACAATCGCTAGCTACCTACCCAAAGTACGAATCAAGACCAAGACCATTGGTGATAAATCCCTTTCAGTTAGATTGGTTAGTCCTCTTTCTAAGAAATATCTTTTCTTGTAATGAGCAAGTATATTCTTTACAAATATAAGAACATGTATGCAAGCTTTGCAACCAGTTTAGGTAATGTTAGAAACAATTCTCTTTGTATTGCAGCCAAAAAGCCTCTTTTTTGGTTGCAATACAAAAAAACCCTAAAAAAGAAAACCCATAACTTGTAAAATGTTAAACAGACAGCAAACATTTTGCTATAGATGTGCACTGTGTTCTACATTTAAAAAAGTGTTTAGCATAATATAATGTATCCTGCTTGATGAAAAGCTAATCACTGAACACATTCTTTTCTTAACTATCTCACTGAATTAATAATAATAATGGATTGGATTTATATAGCGCTTTTCAAGGCACCCAAAGCGCTTTACAATGCCACTATTCATTCACTCTCACATTCACACACTGGTGGAGGCAGCTACAGTTGTAGCCACAACAACTGACAGAAGCGAGGCTGCCATATTGCGCCATCGGCCCCTCTGGCCAACACCTGTAGGTGGCCGGGACAGAGAGCCTGGGGATTGAACTGGCGACAGATGTGCTTCCCAACCCCCTGAGCCACGGTCGCCGAATTGAACCCCTTAAACCTTTGGACCATAAAATAATTGATAGAAAATTGAAAATGGAGTGTTTATTGAGCCTTCTGGCAAAATGTAAAAAATATTTACTACAACAGGCATTTTTTTAAAAAAAATTTTGCAATTTGTTCCTTAAAAAAGCATCGTGCATTCATTTTGGTTTTTCGTTTTTTTTTTGTTTGTTTGTCTTTTGAAGACTTCTGACAAAAAGCCGTGAATCAATTATTATTTTTATTTTAGGAATGCAAGCCTTGCATCCAGCTTTACGTTTGACAGTAAGATCGTTAATGATTGAAAAGGGACTCGAGTTGAAGGTCACAGAACAAACTGTGAATGATCACAAACAGTTTGGGGACATTTCAGTCTTTCCCAAGGGGTGCTGGTGACTTTTTGTTGAAAACAACACAATGCAAACAAGCAAAGAAACACACCAAAATCACCCTACCGCCTACTGGTGTTGGCCAGAGGGGCCGATGGCGCGATATGGCAGCCTCGCTTCTGTCAGTTGTTGTGGCTACAACTGTAGCTGCCTCCACCAGTGTGTGAATGTGAGAGTGAATGAATAGTGGCATTGTAAAGCGCTTTGGGTGCCTTGAAAAGCGCTATATAAATCCAATCCATTATTATTATTATTCACGTTTACATTTAAATTTCCAGTCATTAAAGCAGTGAGGGTTTCTGACCTTAAGCTTGGAGCAGCATGCCTCACGTGTTTTCTTGGATTCTACGCTCATGATGCTGCCGTGCTTCAGAGAAATCCAGGACAGTAGAAAATGGAATAGCACAAGACCTGAAAAGCCACAACAAGATTACGAGCAGGAAAAAAAACCCTAACGTTGTCTAGATACTGTCTCAGGTAGTAACATCCTAAAAGGTGTCTAGCTGCAGTGCATTGATTTGTTTCCAGAGTTTGCCCCAAAAAGATCAACGCAACTATTTTGTCTCAAAAAAAAAAAGTGCACTTACCTGACAACCAGCAGTGGTCCTCTGAGGGATGGCGGTGGAAGGCAGACTGTCCCTTTGCATAGGACTTTGTGCTGAAAACGGGAGTCTTATCTTTAACAAATTACAAGTGAACATCACCTGTAATCAGTAACTCAGCCACTCATGTGAGGTTGTTTTCATGTCAATATCATCCAACCCCTTCAACTCTCACACACAGCCACTCGTTCACACAAGTACAAATGTGACAGCGGTGGTGGCTTTCGTCGAGTGATTGTATGAACAGCATCTAAAGGTTCAGAAGTTCACTGAACACACAAACACACACACACAGATATTCACAGACCCGCACATCCTCCTCTGAGAACTTCATAAGCCTCCTGAGTAGCCATCCTGTTGAACAGACAACAAACAGCAGCATGAAACGGGTCAAAACTTATTGTAATACAAACCTGCTGTTTCTGTTGGTCTGCTGCTTTCAAAGTGAAATACTTTCCTCCTCCGGAGAAACTCGGCCTTTTTGTACGGTTGGGTGCCTCAAAGATGTGATCAAAGTCTTCCTGTCCTATTGATAGCCTTTAACAATGGTTTTCTCTCTGCTTGTCCTTCTCAGTGAGTACGGCAAATCACATCAAATCACAATGACTTGTCACCTTTGTGAGACAGATTGGAAACTTGTCAATAAAGCTGTGAAATGATGGGGTTTTTTTTAAGGTTAACAGTTGTTTGTTAAACTATCTGCAAACATCATGGTTATTGTAAATTTGCAGCAAAATAATGTGTAGTGCATCTGGACACTGGATGGATATAAAGTGTGTTTGTAATAGCGGGAAGGGGTGACTGTTTCACTGCATTAGCACTGCACATTTAAAAGAATTAGGCCTAAGATCAGTTCTCACATATTATTACCCCATATCGCTTTGTGGGAGTGTTATTTTATTATTATTATTATTATTATCTAACTTTGAATTTAAAAACACATCTGAGAAAAGTTGGGATATGGGCATGTTTACCACTGTGCAGCATCCCCTCTTCTTTTGGCAACTGACGAATGTTGTTTCATTCTTATCTGATATTGGACTCTTACTGCTCAACAGCCCTTGGCCTTCTTTGTCATATGTTTAGTTTTGTAATGTGCTTCGGCACATTTCCAGTTGGTGAAAGGTCTGGACAGCAGACAGACCATTTAACCCTTGTATGGTGTTCGGGTCTGTGAGACCCGTGTTCAGTTTTTTTCAAAAGAAAAATTAAACAATTAATTATTTTTTCACGTGTAAATGTGTTGTGTCTTTCCACTCACTCCACTTGATTATAACTGATTTATTTATAACATTTTATATAAAAGAAAAACGAGAAGCACATTAATTCATAAATGTGATCTAACAAAGGTAAAGGGAAAAAATTAACCATGTTTGCTGTTCATATGTCTTGTAATTGGGATGAAGTAAACATCTGTTGAGTAATTTAACATAAAATTGTTTGATGGTGTTAATTTGGAAAGCCAAAACTCTAGCGGGTCCACCAGACCCATGAACACTGGCTGAGTAACAAAAATACGAACACCACACAAGGGTTAAGCACCTGGAGTCCTGTACCACAGAGCCCTGGTGTTGTAATAGATACAGTTTGTGGTTTAGCTTTGTCTTGCTGAAGTATGCAACCCCCCAAAAAGCCATCATCTAAATGGGATATGTCATTTTAAAATCTGCCAAAATATTTCAGCACTGATGGTGCCTTTCCATGCATTCCCATCAAGGATCCAGGCTTTTGAAAACAAGCTTCAGCATGAAGAAGAACAAGAAGTACTGGAAGTGAAGGTATGGCGCCCACAGAGCCCTGATCTCAGCATCATTGAGTGTGTCTGGGATTACATGAAGAGACAGAAGGATGTGAGGAAGCCTACATCCACAGAAGATCTGTGGTTACTTTTCCAAGATGTTTGGAACAACCTACCAGCCGAGTTCCTTCAAAAACTCTGTGCAAGTGTACGTATAGACAAACAGCAAACATGGCTCTCTGAGTCATGGTGGGGACCAAGATAATAAGCAGACTGGACTTACATCAGTTGCAGTTCAGGAGATTCGGGCACCAAACCTCTCAGTGGTTGAATGAGAATGTGCTGCATTATGTTGATATTGGAGGGGACGGGAAACTGATTCACTCAACAAAATAGCTACATTCCACATTGTCCTGAGGGATGTTATGTTATTTAGCTGAAGATGGAGATATATATAAGTCAAGAGACATTTTCACATTTGCAATTGGTCCAAAATTTAGCAACCGCTGTGCCTTTTAACTAGAAACTGTAAATTACTCAAATTTAAGTAGGAATGAGGAAAATCATGATTAAACTTTTAACTTCTTTGCATGCAATAAATACTTAATAGTTTTCAGGATCCCTGGATGAGATCCTGAAAGAGACATTTATCCAGGTATTTCTGATTGTTGGAGCAGGGAATCAGGAAATGGAGAGGACAGTTGGGTTGGAGTAGCCTTCTTCCGCATGCTGAATGTGTCACGATCCTGGATCTTCTAACCCAGCATTATGAGTTTTAGTTTATTTTTATGTTTAAGTCCTTTATGTTTTCTAAGTTCATTCCTATTATGCCTAGGTTGTCATTACAGTTCTTAGTTATTAGATTCCCCCTGTGTCTTCCTACCCCTATGTTAAGTCTCCCTTGCCCTTCGTGTGTTTCATGTCAGCATGTCTTTTGTTAAGTTCATGTTGTCAGGTCTGTGTTTCATTATGTTTCCTGTTTTATTTTGAAGGTCTGTGTCCTATGTCAATGTAGACAGCTTTGCTTCCTTTGTCTCGTTATGTCGGACTAGTTTCAGCTGTTTCCCCATGAGTTTCCACTTCCCATAATCACCCTTGTGTGTATTTAGTCTCTGTGTTTCTGTTCATTCTTTGTCTGGTTGTCTGTGTTCGCGTCATGTTCTCCATGCCATGTTTCTAGGTTTCATATTACAGGTTTTTCATGTTGTTTGTTTAGTTCTCCCAGTTTAGGTTAATGTTAGTTTTACTTCAGTTTGCCTTGCCCTTTGTTTGTACCTTTTTTACCAGCCTCGTTAAACGGCTCGCTTTTTATTAATCCAAGTTTTGTTCCACATTCCTTTTGTGTCTGCATTTTGGGTCCACTCTTCTCAATACATACAGTCTGCCTCAGCCAGACTGTGACAGAATGCACAAGCCAGTTTAGTTTTTGGTAGGCTTCATAGGTATTGAATAACTCCACAGCCAAAGCAGTGGTGTGATGAAGTGGTGGAAGTTTACCTTCACAACACTCGAGAAAGAGAAAATCACCACAGCAGATGAGATGCCACATGATACAGAGAATCCAGCTGTTTCCACCCTGGCCTCCGCAACAATGCACTCCATCATCTCCTAGTACTTTAACTAGATCTCTAGTTTGTGCAGCAGATGCTGGGGACAGCACCTTATCTGTGCCCACAGCACTGCCTGCGACAGCTTTCACCAAATGAACCCTTGGCATATTTTAGCGTTGCTGCTATGTAATGTTCAGTTTCCACTACCTTCTAGACTGTTAAAGATGATAGCTGTGATTTATAATAACACTTAAAAACATAAAACTACATGCTTTTTTTCCTCTGTTTCTGTAGAGACCAACAAATTCAAGTCCACAGCAAGAATGCTTGCCACAGTTTTCTTTTATATTAGGATAAAACCCAGAGGCACACTGATTATAAATGCAAAGGCAGGACTTCTGAGTATCATGACGTCATGAAGTTGATGTATCATGAAGTGTCATGAAGTTTAATAGGCATATAATTAATGAAACATTGATAATCAAACGATAACTAATAAAAACCTGCTTTAATTCTAAACGTGCTAGTTCTATTTAGGTGTCTTTGTTTTTTTATGTTTAAGGAGAAAACCAGGCCAAAGAGTGTTGCTATAATCATCACAATTTAACATTAGTGTGTGTAAAGCTCACATATATGTAAGTTTCTGTAATAAAATGTTTAATTTAACACGACTTCACTGTGTGCTCTCTTTGGAGAACTCAAGACTCGTTTATACACCCATTCATGTACTCCTTGCTTGCTTTGCCTTTCCTTTAAATAAAGATGGTCCTATTATCACTAGAGAGATGGCTGAGCTGAGAGAGTGGTTACATTTTCCAGTGGCTCCATCTGCTGGCCTTAGCCTGCCTTTCCCTGTTAGCAGTCGCACCACCACCCTAGAAACCCTGCCTGCGTGCCTCACAATCTTTTTTTTCCATGTTTTTTTTGCCCAGCAGAACCTTCTTACACCAGAACAAACAGGAGTAAAGGAAACAATAATTTGTTAACAGTACTAGCAGAAGCAGGACATTGCCACACAATAGCCAGACAACCAGGCCACAGCCAACATGACTCTATGCTAAAATTGAAGCCCAGGGATGTTGCAAAAAGAAAGACTGTCTACCCTCCCCAGTATGTGCACATCATATATATTATATATATATATTATATATTGTATTATATACTATTATATGAAAATATGTATCAAAATATCAGAGACTATATCAGATTGGTATTAGCAATACTGCCCTGTATTTACTTGGTATCAATACCAAAATCTGCAGTATCGCACAGCACTAATTAAAATGTACCTGCAAGGCTAGATACAACTGTTGAGCAACTCTTTTTGTAATTTCCAGGAAGTGTTTAATAAATGCGGAAGCAATTAAGGTCAAATCAATGTGACAGTGAACAAAAACAGAGAAGATATTTACAGAGTCTTTTGGTGATTGTCAGATGTGTTTATTTGACAGAAAACAGATTCAGTACCTTCTTTAAACACAGAAGAAAACCATCCAGTACTGCTGAATTAGATTTGAATTCTATTTAATCTAATGATTTCAAATGGCTTCATCTTGGTTTTGCTAGCTCTACATTTCAGATCCTGCTGCAAGATTCACACACACAGCTGGTGATGTGCTTGTAAGCGTATTGTCTGGTAGTCAGGTCAGAGCAGTGCAGGGTCATCGATTTCTTCTCTGAGTTCTGCTCCACGCAGCATTTGCACTCCTGCTGCAACATCAAGTCACCATTTAACACCGCAGTGAGGGGGAAGGGTTAAAAAGGACAGAGGAAGGTAATGGTTCAAGGTTCTTTATTTGTCACATGCATAGTTATACAAGTATAACACACAGTGAAATGTAGCCTGACACGCTCCTCGACATGTGCAAAAATTGGGGGGGGTGTGTAGAGGAAGAACATTATATATATATATATATATATATATATATATAT